ACATGCTTTAACAGCAAACAAAGCTGGCTGCTGATATGCACACAACAGAACCTACAAGGATTTGGTCTTGTAAGTTACAGTGCTTTGAATTAAAAAGGGAGAGATGCTTTTTTAATTTGAAGAAAAATTAATGGAGGAGTTCTGCTATCACGAAGCCAGTGGGAATCATAAAGTTAATTAGACCTGGGTGAGATTCTATCCAGCCTGATTCATGCCATTTAATTTATTTTACTAGCAAAATCTGGTCCTGAAATGCACCGTGAGCAGAACAAATACCTGAGAAAGCAATTTGGATTTTGTTGACATGAGAAGCGCTGCACACTCTAAATCATCTTTGTAATTTAGATGGGCCACTCGCTTTTGAGAGGGAAGGGCATGTCTTTCCTGTCAAGGATAAACCAAGGACCTTGACTAGCATTATAAAGGACAGTAGTACAGCGTGATTAAGTGAGGGGAGAAGCCATCAGCTAACAACATGATTTGTGGCTGATGCCAGCAGAAACTCTCAGCAATTCTGCATGCTCGTCATTAAGCAAGTTACAAAAGCTGGCACAGGCAGTTGGGAGCAGAGCTGAGCAGGGAAGACACTGGGTCCTGTGTGTCTCCACAGCCCCATTCTGCCATCTCCAACTGAAATCTGAGCAGCAGCTACTGTACAAAACACTCTTCTTGCAGAAAAGTAGTAGCATTAAGAAGAAAAACATCTGCAACAAGCTGAATATCAGAGTTCCCTCCCCACCGAGAGCTGTATCACAAAAAGACTGTATTCTTGTAGCACCAGGAATTGCCCCATGCACTTCCATGTCTTTACCCAAAACCCCAATACCTCAAGCACTGTAATGTGGATCTTCACTTTTCCTTCTGATCAAATCAGATATGGCTGTTTCTAGAGGTTTTCTGTTAGCAGTGTCTCCTCAGGGAGTATAACAGCTTTATCTTGCTCTCTGGCCATTAAACAGACATCCTGTCCCAGCAGGAGCTCTCATGTCAAATTACTGACGCTCAGTAAAGGGACTTCTGCTTCCTGAAGCAACGTCTAGCAAGAATTAATAGTTATACTATCTTTTATCTTATTAACCCTTACCTTATACTTCTAGAACACATTTCTCCACTACTTAAAAACATTCTGAATTTATACCACTAAGTTGTAAAGTCATCAAGCACCATTTTTACCTGTTATTAGTGTTCCATTATACTTGTTCAGACAGCGTCCGTATTCCAAACACTCACCCAAACCCCAAAGAAAGTAAAGGCACACAAACATTAAATATCTGTAGGAGAAACATGATCTGATATAAACAAGCAAACACACTGCTGCAACTATAAATTATAAAAAGAAACATAGAAACCAAGCAAAAAAATGCAAAAAGCAACTCTATTTATACATGTGCAAATCAACTTGCATATATGAAATAAATGAGGTTTTTATTGGCATTTTTAAACAGTGTGTATTTACCAACTTTACCTTTCAAAGGCAAGCCTTTTCTGTTAATTTTAATAAATATGTAAATGCTTCTCTCAAGTTTTCTAATCTCATAGGAACAAGATTTTTGAAAAAAAAACGAAAAAAAAAAACTCAGGTCACATACAAAAATACAAAATTTTAAAACAAAGAATGTCTTGATATGAGAGAGATGTTTAAAAGCTTGTAAAATGATTTTATATTCAACTTGACATTTTTTTCCCCTCAACCGCTGATCAATATATTCAAATGCAAGTCATGCAAGAACCTGATTTCTGAGGAAAGGAAGCTGCAAGCTTTACTGTGCCACTGAAAAACGGCAGCACAGTCCCATCTCTAACATCCTTAAGTGCAAGAATTGTACTACACCTTTATTCTTTAATTAGGAAGGAAAGTAGTTACGGAACTCAGACAGGAGGCTGCCCTCTATCCCGAAATGTGGATATATATTATAGAGTTTAGTAAATCATTCAAACTTTTAAATAGTCAGACATGGATATGCCTGAGTGCTTATCAATGTGTGAACAAGCACTGCGGTGTGATGGAGGAGTGCTGTATCAGGCTCAGCCAGTGATGTTTACAAAGTTTATGTGCTTACAGTTCTCATAGGATAGTCTCCTCTTACAGAAATTTAGACTGAAGCTTTCTTTCAGAAAAGTAACACTTCTTCTGAAAAGAGAGTTTAAAATTATTAATAGAGCCCTATCACATTACAGGTCTTGATTCCTTTTTAAGATTAATGAGTCTTCGCTATAGATTCCAGTGGAAATAAGATGAGACCCAACTGATTCTGAAGCCAGTTTAGATACTCTCTCCCTGGCTGAAATGCAAAAGGCATTGGTGCTTGCCATTTCCTTTTTGCCAGTACACAGTAATTCACTTTAGTAGACTAGAAACAGTGCTACAGAATGAAAAAAACAGCTTACAACAGACTCACCCTGCTGTGGTAAAGGCAAATGTAGCACTAAGCAAAGCACTAGACCAGAAAATCTTAAAATAAAAATACCCAAACCCTCCCATCTTTAAAGGTTTAGAGGCAAAACAAAATGCAGTAGGCCATGTGGACCATACAGTATGTGTTTGTGGGAAACAAGCAAATATGTATTTACAGCAAAGAATCACACTACAGCAAAAACTAAGGGTTTTGCATTCTTTAAGTGTGCACCTACAATTCTTTGTTCCCAACGTACTTCGGTGCTCTCTCATTCCAAATGAAATTCCTGCCTGAAGAAACTCAGACTGAACTGGTAAAGGCAAGTTGTGCTGATGCCTTTACTTTCAGCACCAAGTATATATATACTGTGATACTCTGAATGTTCCAGTTGCACAAATATGCACAGGTATGCAGGGAGTATTTTATATAAATACAAAATGAATTGCTGCACCTGCTCAGACTGATTTCCAATCCTCCTCCCCCAGGTTTTCCAGGGTATTAAAACTAGTGCAAATGACATTTGTGCCGACTGAAGCAAATGCTGAGCTATGGTAACGGTAAGGATTTCCACACTTGTTTGTTTTCTTTTCATACAAAAAGTTTGCCACCCATTATAGCACCCAGCTGTTCTGTTTCTGGAAAATGACTCTAAAATACAGTAGATCTTATCATCATCACGACTCAGTTACGGGTGGCCCTGCTGTTCACCAGCTCCCACATATCCTTTCTGGATACTCAACAGTCTCTAAGGATTAAGTTACTGTGTAGTCCACAGCAATGTTATGGGGTGTAATGGGGAAACTGAGTGCTGAGGCAGGAAAAGAAAAACTTGAAAAAGCTAATTCAGTGCTTTTAAATTGAAAATTTAAATACATATACTGTTCTGTTTATGTGGGAATTTATCCACAATGAAAGAGCATTTCCCTTGCTTGGTCTTTGGTAGGTCAAGAGATACATCGATATTCACACACAGGTAATGAATGCTGGTTACAAGAAAAATCCAAACCAACCAGATATATCCAAGAAAGGCAAATGCAAAGTATCCATGCTTTTCATTATTACCTGGTAATGCTTGTTGATCGTTATGGAAAAACTCTTCACACTGATATGAAGATTTTTTCCTGCGTGGTCAAAGCACATCCAAATTGTAAACCTGCAGATTACGACTGCTTTCAAAATACACTGCAGGTTTGTTTCTCACTAATCTTAGCATATCATTTCCTGACTACAAATGGTGCTGTCAAGCATGCCACCTTCTGCTGGAAGTAACAAAAATTACCTCTATAAAAACATGACGGTTTAGAAGAGTTAACTTGCTGCTCTAAACCAAATGAAGTTTGATTTGAATTCCAAACTCTTGAATTGCTTTATTCTAAATTTGTAACTGGTGTGCCCACTAAAAAAAAAACCAAACCCCAACAAACCAGAAACACCCCCCAAACCAGAAAAACAAAGAACCCATGAGACTGATCAATGCTTTTCTTAGCAGTTGTTTGTCTCCTCTTACTTGATCTTCAGAAAAGATTTCTCTTTAAAACCTAGCTAGTTATGAAGACATTTTACAATTCTACCATACAATAATTATAGTTAGCTTAGTTTAACCTTTCTATGTCATTCAGCAACACTTTAACTACTGGAAGCCGTAGCAGACTGAGGCTCTAACAATAATATTGCTCCAATGATGCTGAATACTTTTTGCTTCACACAGTATTTCTAGTAGACAGACTATAACAGAAGCATGGGCAAATTCCAAGGATTACTCTCTAAATGGGACCAGTAAACTGTGACAAGTCCATTCCCAAAATGGCAGTATGATTGTGTAGCTTTTCCACACTGAGGAATGCCACAACCGTAGTCAGTTCTCAAGTCACCGAGATATGTCAGATGCTGGCACCTGCTTGTTTGCTCCTCATTCATGATACTCTCGGGTTAGACTGCTCTGATGCAGCAGCTCTGATGCAGACAATGCCTTGTTGTGTACAAAGATTAAAAAAAGGAAAAGAAAAAAAAAAAGAACTGGGCCCAGCTAACCCAATAACAGGGTACAGAGTTACGAGTCCGAGTTCTTGTGAAGTAAATGACTTCATAGCTGTTCATGCTAAAGCAGTACCCAAACCAGTGCACCTAGAATAAAACATCAGTCCTCCCACCCCTGCACCCCCACCTTCAAGCACACTTTTTTCAATTTTCTACTGGAATGAAGTTGAGGTCCTTTAACTAACCATGATGGGGGATGGCCTAACTCATTACAAAAATAGAAAACACTTCACCCAAACGACAACAACAAAAAAGAAGTTTGATGGGTCTAGGAATTTTCTACAAACTATTCTGTGCAGTCTTCTTCAAATCACTGTAGAACATGAATCTCATTCTCTTCGCAACCAGGTGAAGGAATCTGAAGAGTTGCACTGCAAATGTTCTTATAGGAAAAAAAGATCAGTTAGCTGTTCATTATGAATCCCTCCTCTCTTAGTAGATGATTCTGCCCAGCAATGATAGCTCTGCCTGCAGCAAAAAACCTGGACAAAAGTGCAGGAAGTAATAAGTAGCTCCTCTCAAAACTACTTACATTTTGTCCTCAACTCAAAAGAAGCTCTGCTGCTGCTATAGGCAGTCTTTACAAAGCGCAACCTGTCCTTTAATATAGTCTCTGCACGGGCAGATTCTTCTGTAGGTGGGGTGGGATCCGGCACAGCTGAACAATAAGAGGTCACCTTGGAAAACACAGTGCTTCCTTCTTCCATCAAAAGAGGGGACCAGAATATCATTTGCAGACTCCATGGTGAGACATTCAATATTATGCCTAAAAAGCAAAGCAAATGATCTAAATCACTGTGGAGTTTACAGGAGTTCAGTACAGTTTTCATCCTTCATCGCTAAAATGAAAATAAAATGCTGTATTAAATCCTAAATCAAGTACACTTAGAGATGCAGATTTCCAGAACACAACTCTCCTTTTTTTCTGGCTGCATGGATTCTCTCTGCAGAGGGCAGTACAGCCTTTGCTGCTTTCCTAAAGATTAATGAAACATGTTAAAAAGGACTATTTGGTCCCTTTGACTATTCCCCAATACACAATACTTAAAATACACTGTGGATTTCTAGTAAGACAAAACCAAAGAATGTGAAACTGGGAGATACCCTCAGGGAGGTCCCACGAGTGAGCCCCACCATTCTAGGCAGCCCTGGGCAGTTCGAGGTGCACGAGCTCAGCCAAACTGTGAAGATGAGGCAATGCTGCTGTGGTGCAGCAGAAGCTGGTCAGAGCGGGACCCACTGCTCAGGGGAGCCAGCTAGTGCAGGGCAGCTGAAAACATTAAAATTCCAGTTGCTGTTTTCTGACCACAAAGCTTAAGCACGAGGGTAGCAATTCCAGTGGAGGCTTGTTTTTCACTTCTTCTCGAAACAGTGGTAGCTTTCAGCATTTAACAGGCTTTTTTTTTTTTCCATAGAATTATAATGTTGTCTAGACAGCTAGAAAAGAAGCCTGACAAAACTTTTCTATCAGCTGCTTCTGAATTCCACTGGGAATTACAATTTTTCAAATAAAACACAAAAATAAAAACCTTGTAGAATTTAATTTAGCAAAAAGCAGAGATAGAAAACCTAGAAAGCAGATTCCCTAGCAGCCATGTGTAGGAGCCCAGCTTTGAGTGCTTTGTTTTCATTCTGAAAGGAACACAGACATACTCCTAAAGAGGCAGGACCTGAAAGCAACATTAATTTCCTTAATGCATAGCTGGTAAGCCTCAGAAATTGGCACTACCTCTCACGTACAAGGGTTTACAATTCTTTACGTAGGACAATACCGACAAAAGGTTTGCAGAAACAGTAACTGCTAATTGCCAGTGAGCACAGATGCTTCAATATGGATGTTAATCACGACCAAAGAGGAAGCTCAATAAATAAAAACAATACTTTATAAGTCCTATATTTAAAATCATGTGAACAACTGATAGGGATCACACAATGTGTACTGAGTTCTATTTACTGCAACAAAATACATTTCATTTCTGACCCAGCTGACTGAGCACAACTAGGATTAGTGTTCAGAGTCATGCAAGTTCACTAATGAAGGATACGGCAAAAGCTGTGGCATAGTGCACCTGCTCAGCCAGGGCTGCACCAGGTCCATCCAAACCCAATTATCGTCCTGGCACCTGCGATCCCTGCAGCACAAGCATCTTTACTTAGTGCTGGAAACCCACCATCAAAGGGCACTGCGGGGGGCACACACAGAGGAGACAGATGGGGAAGGAAGAGATGTAAATTTCTGGCCTTGGTGCCATCTCACTGCAAAAAACACATGGTATGTGGCATGGCACTCTCAGCACAGCAGCAGTTTCTACCATCCACTGCTACGAAGGACTGACAGCTAACCTCACAGCTTGCTGTCGCCAGCCGGCCAGCACTCCTCTCCCCACCTTCCCTTCTCACAGAATTTGTACAGTAAACTTCACATGCAGCAAAACCCAGTGCAATAAAACAAGACCAAGTAGTATGTTTCTGCTTTTAAGTACTTACCTAAGAAGAGCTTTGTCCTTGTTGAGATGCTGAAAGAAGGAAGGCTCACAGATGAGCTGGCTTTCCTGGCAAACTTGTTTACAGGATTTTCCAGGTTCAGCAATTTTTACTTGAAGGGCACTTAATGGGGGCCACATCACTTGCCCATGACAGAAATCCTGCAGTGACAGATCACACTTTATTATGATGCATCCAGTCCCTTGACAGCAATATTTCCCATCAGTAAAATAAGTAGTTATTATCACCCAAACACTCATTTTGCAGCCCTTGTGGTTGTATCAAAATTAATAATTTAAGCACATTTAAAAAGAATATTTTTTTTTTAGCATGAGGGAATTATCACCTTTTATTGCTACTTGAAATGTGGTACTATCATTCTTCCCAAAGAAGCTTCTTCCCTACTTTTACCATTTTTCATTTATCATAAACTACTCCAGCTAGTCTCAAGTTCCACACACTGAACCCATTTTGGTTTCTCAGTGACTCCTGTTTCACTAACTCAGTGCTAGCTGAACTATTTTCTTAGTTACATATTTTCTAAGTGATACTTAGCACAAGGAGCTAAGTAGGAGCAGAATTCCAGAGGTCAGTTACCCGGTAGGTGAGAAATGTCTCAAGTGACCCATGTGGAGAGTCATGTGGAAAGGATCAGGGGCCAATTCTAGACTCCACACAAGGCAACCTAAAAGTTATACCATATAGCTAAGAGTGCTGTCCAAATGCTTCTTCAACACTGACAGGCTGGGGCCATGACCACTTTCCTTGGGAATTTGTTCCAGTGCTTGACCATCCTGTCAGTAAAGAACTTCTGAAGTGCCCCTGATGCAGCTCTAAGCCATTTTCTCATGCCATATTTGAAAAATAAATAAATAAATGAGTAATTTTAGAGTATATTTATGGCAGAATAATTTTAACAGCATCTGAAAAACCAGGTTAGTAAAAGATGGCTGGAGGTACTTTTTAGCAAGGTTGTTTCAGAAGGTCATTTTGCTATTTGGACTTAAGTGCTCCACTTATTCTGTTCTGTCATAAATCAGTATTTAAAATACTAGATGCAGGAGAAAATCTATATACTTTCAAAATCCAATCCAGTACTGTAATATATACATATACTATAGAATACTGTAATATATACCAGTGTAAGATGTACAATATAACACTGTACTATTGGATTGGATTCAGAGCTAGTGCAGGCAGAAGACAAAGTTTTTCAAAGACAGTGAAGACTTCTGAGGCTTCACCATTTGCTGAGGTCTTCAGTTTTTAACATCTCTTAGCCGAAAATTCTTCCCCAAAACTGGGCACAGGCTCCCACTGCCAGTCCTTAGCTTTGTGGGAAGCCTTCCCCCCAGCTTCCACCACCTTGAAGCATGTCCCACAGTACATCACCTTCACAGGTACTAGCACACAGGGATGTGTCTCAGTTTGCTGTCTCTGGTTAGTTTTGCTATCAGCCACCAAAACCAACCTGAATTTAGTTTCTTCACTCCAGTCTATCTTGCCACACAACCCCACATGCATAAGGGTGAAATAAAGATGGTATTCAGAACAGAAGGCTAAGCTTTACCAGAGACTGCGTTTATGCTTATTTTTCCTATCACCACAACTTCAAGGTAAGACAGGCTTAGCCCTGCCATCAAAGGAGGTATTCTCCTCCTTTTGGCTTTTCTTGCTCTTGGAGGAACGTCCTTGCTCCACTCCCTCCGCCACGCTCTGGTGCTTAGCTCACTCTCTGCTGAGCCAAGTCAGTTTGCTAACCCAGTAGAACCCTGCCAAAACCATTTTCTGCTGGGTTAACTAATACTCCACTTGACCACATCTTTCAAAGTCCCCATATCTGTTGCATCAGCCCAGCCTGCCTCATCCAGCTGCTCCCAGGTTTGCAACAGGGAATCCCACAGCTGCTACGGCTGCAGTTGCCTGGCTGCTCCTTTGATGGCAGGGCCAACTTCAGCAGTCCCACCCTTTGGCTCCCACTCTATGCTGCTGCTTTGCAGAGCTGACACAACTGTTTGTACAGCCACAGAGCAAACAGGATCAAGGGATGGATTCAGCAGATAACACAGATGCACTTAACAGCCATGCAGGGCTGCTGGCAAGGGCAGTGCACTGGCAGGAAGGAGTGGTGGCACCGCTGTTTAGCAGTGAAACCACAGCTCACAGTAGTTTTCTTGCTTCAGACCCTAAAGACTTTCAGCCCAGCTGTTGGGTCTGAAGACTCGGGGAATTCACTAAACCGTCCTCGTGAACACTGTCCTCTCTCCTGATCCTGAGCCAAGGCCCCAGAAGGGGAACTCCAGACAACTCCTTTAAATCCTAGAGTTTTAATGTCCCATACGGTGACTTGTGGGTGACTGTATCTGGCCCCATCCTCTTCACATTCAAACATCCCAGAAGACCATACTCTTGGAGTTAATGCACTCCAGAACCTCTGAACTAGACCAATTCCATGCACCTTTGTTCCTGTTCTGAGCTTGTGCTGCTTCCTTTGTCCTGCCTGCCTCCCACCAAAAACTCCTCAAAACAAGTTCTCAACCTTTGTTTTTGCTTCATGTGACATGTTAATCAGGCACAGTGCTAAGCACATGCAGCTAATGATGATGCTTGAGCATGCTGGGGGCTGTGAAACAGTAATGGCTTTTGACAATTAGTCAAAGCAATGAACAAAATTACAATGCTCTATTTATTTCTGAGAAGCACCCAGTACAGGCCAGAGCTCAGCCCTTGGGGGAGGTCCAGAGAGAGGAGAAATGGGTTTGCCCTGCAGGCACTACCTCTAGATTGTCTCCTTTTCTCCTTTACACTGAGCTCCACTTCTTCCTGTATTGACAAAACCTCTCAGTTACAGCTAACTAGAGTAGAAGAATCAAAAGAACCAGAGATACTTTTACAAGCTATGTCATCAATAGAGCAGCAAAAAGCTTAAAGTGTTTATTGGCAGGAAAATGGAAATAGCTATGTTACATTAACTACACTTCTGACCTGAATTCTTTATTACTGTATTTAATATCCATCATCTTCAGAAATACAGATACAGGAGCATGTCCAGTGATTTCTTTTAAAAGAAATCCTAGCAATTAATTGGCATATCAGAGATAAAGCTTGTTCCTATCTCTCTTCTGCAGCAGCCAGAACAAAAGGCAGAGCCAGTGCTGCAGCAGATCTGGCCTTGGGCAGAAGTCCAAGCAACACAGTTTCTAGAAATCAGGATCCCATAGAAATCTCTGCAGTTTATCACTCTAACTCAGTGTCTTCTGCTACTCTCAGCTGGTGGTAATGCATGGGGACCAAAAGTCCTTTAAGTAACTGATTTCCAAACCACTTAAAACTTTATCAACTGAAACTGAATACTTGAAAAATCTGCCCAGAGGCGTTAGCCTAAGTGTAATTCTACGACAGAAGTATCTCTATATTAATGTGATACCTCATGACCAAAAGATTTTTTTGGTGTGTACACAGTTAAAGAAGTCACATATACACTGAAAAATTAGTTTGCCTTTCTGCTTTGATATAACACCAAGGACTGCACAGCTACTCTTTCTACTTGAAAGGCAAGAATACTGAGAAGCTTTAAAATCAAGAGGGTCCTCCCTTTCCAAAATAAAATGAAAGAGTCATCCACAATAAAAGTTCATACCTGTCTTTCAATAAATGCATTCATCCTCTGAAGCATTCCCTCACATGTAAATTCATAGGGCAAATAAGGGTCGATCTGCGGAAACACAGTGTGTAAAGGTTAGAGGGTTTTTTCTTTAAATGAGCTTTGTGGTGTGCTGTGTGGTAGCAGACTGTATTCCAAGTGCTACATTATAGCTTAAGTAGCAACAATAAAACCAAATAAACTCATTAACAAATCACAATTTCACAAAACCATCAGCAGTTTAAGCTGATCTTTGCTTGTCGTAAAGGCAATAAAAGTTGCTCAGTGATTATTTTAAGGAAACTCAGGGTATACTGCAAATTAATATATCCAAAGCTAGCCTGAGACCCTAAGAGATCTCAGAGCTCCTGTTTTAACTAAGTTTCAGTTCTGAAGTGAAAAATGAAACACTAAAACAAAAAAGGAATGCAATACCTTTGAAAATGACTTCAAACTTCCCCCGCCCCCCCCACTCCCTCCCCTTGAAGTGCCCTCATTACAATTCCACACTGTAAGTGCACAAGTGCTTCAGTGGCAGCTATGTCAAGGCTACAAAATCAGCCAAAAGAGTTGAGCATGTATTTGGACAGCCCACAGTGCCCTAAGAATCAACAAAGAAACTTCCTAACTGAATGCACAGAAAACATAGATTGCTGTATCATTTATGTATGAAATTCCCATTGCTATAAAATTCACCCATATTCGTTTTTTCAGGTAAAAAGCTGACATACCCACTACTAAATTAAACCACGATAATCACATACCACAGGTCCATAATAACATTTTCCCCCGCCTAATATCCTACCAAATTGCAGCACTCTGCTTCAATTAGACTAAGATTAAGGAGCACTCTACATGTAGTACACAATGCACCCTTAAGTGCTGATGACAGATCAAGGATACATTTCTCACCTTTTGATTCAAAATTGATTTCACAGCCTTCTCAACTTCGGAAAGATCATTGATGTCTACAGTCCACACATGGGGCTTCCCAATGTAAACTTCAGCATAGGGATGCTGAGATGTCAACTGAAAGGAAGAAATTACACTGGTAAAAATTAAGTGTGTCAAGATGTCCTTCCCTCTCACTCTTTTGATCAGAGCTTCTGGATGAAATCTGCTATGATAATGCAAGAATTCAGCCAGAATCTAACAGTATCATTCCTTCTGAGTTATCTTTCAGATTTTCTGCGTTTAAATTCAGAGAGTGAATTTAGTTGGAAAACTGAAGATCAGATAATGAAGATCACAAGTAACATTTGTGCCCCTCTAATTTGTGGCTTTGATCCCCATAATGACCCACATCACAGAAGAATTGATGCTTACTGAAATTACTCTTACAGTGTGACCCTTCTTCCCCAGAGCTCATTCACAGAGCAACTGTTTTCACAGCCCGTAATTGCTACCAGTCCTGGTTAGACCAGCCTGACTGGCTTCAAGAGATGTCATCCTCACCCTGTCTCTCCTTCAAATTTCAACTGTTTCCAAGATTCTGGGAGTGGTAGAGAATAAAGAATCATTTCTATCATTTAGGATGAATTCTGACTTGCGCTGATGGTAGTGCAAGAGTACTTTGACCTCAATAAGAGTGTTAACTTGTAAATATTTTACTCACCCGTCTGCGAAAAAACAAATTCAATAAATACCCAAGTAGATACCAAGAAAAGTATCAGAGATTGCTTTCAGAACTAGCAGGATGGCACTTAAAGTAATTTTTGTGACAGGAGTGAGAAGAATATGCACTGAGAGGAAGCAAAAGCTGTAGATGAGAGAGAAGTGTTTCACACTAGCCTCAGAAGGCAATTGCTTCTTAAATAAATAAAAACCCCCAAACCCTACAGGACAGATTATTCACAGACAATTTTTATACAGTTGCATCTTTATGCATGATACAAAGAAAAATCTAGACAGTGTGAAAGATTTGAAGTAGGAGACAGAGTCTGTTGGAAAGAACCTTCTCCTGCACCAGGCACAGACCGTACTTCATCTCTTCTTCAAGTGAATGTAAGGAAGAACTTTAAAAAAAGTGTTGCCTGTTGCAGTTTGCTTGTGAACAAGAGAAGCCAGTCTTAGAGTTAGATATGGGAGCGGCTAGCATGATTCTGGGCTCTGAGACCAATGCTCCAGGGGACTCTGTGCAGGTTACGCCTTCACCTGCAGGGCAGTGTGGTGGTGAGAGTTCATGGACTGGCTGGAAGACTGCAGGTGCCGGGCACTAACCCTGGATGCTCCTGCACACAGACAGCTTCCATACCTGCCCACGTTCACTTGCAGCCCACTGCACTGTGCTCCCATCGGCATATTTTAAATTCCTCCAGAAAGTCCAAAGACCTAAAGTGTTTGGGTTACCAAGACTGAGTTCCCAGGGCATTTATGTCTGGACTTCAGACGGCTGAAGCTACAGTCATATTGCTCTAAATAACAACAAAAGCCTTCTACCACACCTTTAAAGTTTTGAACATAAACCATTGTTTTAAATTCCACAAAGCTCTAGGAATTATGCCTTAGACAACTCTCTCTTTATCATTTCATACAAAGAGAGAGCAAGATCTGATCTGGAAGACAAACAACTGAACTTCTCAGACTGATAGCTGTTCTAAGTATTAAGAGTAACCAGTAACATATTTTTATTGCAACAGTTATTCTGCATCAATACTCACAAAAAATATTAAGACTATTTCCTAATGCTGAAATGCTTTAATTAGCCAAGGCTTAATGATTTAGATATTCAGGAGATACTCCCTCTCTCTCTAATTAAAATCTTTAAGAATTCTTATAAAATAGATTTGAAATTAATTTCTAATTTCAGGATTTTTTTGTTTTTTTTCTTCCTTCCTCAAAGCAGAAAATGAAAGAAACGACACCCACAAAGAACATGTTTCAACTAGACTTATCATACAATGTTTTCTTTCTTCTGGGGAGAGTGAGCTGGAATGGAAAAGAAATATTGGTACAAATATTGGTATAAAACAAGCTGCTTGAAGGTGACTTTTTCTTCTTTTTTCCCTGCCTCTTTCCTCCAGCAAAATCAAGTCCTAAGATAAAACATCTGCTGATCTAAAATGAAAATTGCAATTTCCAGTTTTTGTACAGAGCCTTCACTACAGGACCTCATCTTGGGGGGGAGAGGGGAAACAATTAACTCCCCCATGCCCAATAAATTCTATCTAGAACAAGACAGAGGTAGTGACTTGCAGTGGGTACTTTGCAAAAGTGCTAAACACAGACCTTATTTCAAACTCATCTGGATAACCAATCTGCAGAACTACACAAGCTTTTTTTGTTCTCCTCTAACACTTGAAAAAAATGAGAGAAGGATTTAAGGGCTTTCTTAATCCCAAAGAACCAGCAGATGGATTACTGGCAATCGAATCTAAACGCAGTTGTGAAAACCAGTTAAGACAAAAGGTTACTCATAGCATAGGTCAGCAGAGCATGTGAACGCAGCAGTATTTGTGGTGAGTGTTCATTATATTATTTTGTACTTAAGCAGTCAATAGGGATTATTTTTCTGTGCAAGTCAGGTGCACAGCATTTCTATTAGTGCTGACACATGCCAGAGGCATTTAGCACAGCATTCCAAGCACTAAAGTTCCTACTAAAGAGTTAGATGGTTCCAGATTATTTACTGAGCCTCACCAGTTATAGTGTCTAGGCACAGAACAACTGGAACTGAGACAAACAGTCAAATGACCATAGAAGAAAAGCTTTGAAAGGTGCCATGCCCAAAGAGAAAATTTAAACAGATTTTCCTCCCTTATTACTACCGCCTTTGTCAGTGATGCAAGCTGTGGGAATGAGTCTGAACTCACGTCCTGGGCAAGCTGAACAAATAATAAGCTGTAAGACAATTACAGGTCTGGATCATAAAATCATAAGAACTTTATGTTCCTGTTTTAAAATGGGAAACTGCCTTTTGCTGGTCAACTTCAGCGCTGCTCAGTAAGCAATTTATATAGTCCAAGTGTAACTTGAATTGGGAAATACAGCTCTGTAAGGTTCTCGTAATCTAAGTGTTAACCTGAGAGCTTTCCCTTCAGATAATTGTGCAAAGAAAATAAGTATATACATGTAGGTTTGACCAGATGATCCTTGAGGTCCCTTCCAACCAGGCAATCTATGATTCTATGGTATTCTGTGATACACCTATGAAGAAGCCATGGTCACAGACAAAAGTGCTAATGTCAGAAATGGCTACATGACTGTTAAATGCTTGCAAGTGGTAGAGGCTGAATTTTACCTACACTGAAGAAGAAAAATATTCCAAAGTCAGTACCAGGATGAAAGGCTAGTTTACTTAGCCTCATTTTTCTCTTGCTCAAGCCTAAACACACTCACTGATTTGAATCCTTGAGGTTGGTTTTCCTATTCTCTTAAACAGTCAGTTCTCCAAATGTCTTCAGTGTATAACCACAAACATGGTGGTGTGTGACCATTAATACCATAGGTCAACAGTGCCTTGAACGGGTCCTTCATAATATCCCAAAACACACACCCCCACCCACAAACACAATTTTTATAATTGACTTAAACGCCTCTTTGCTTCCTGCACAGTACACGGTAATGTTTGCTACTTCAACAAAATAAACCCACTTCCAAATGACACATCATGTATCAGATGACACAACCTCTTCCTGGGCAGAGGATCAGGTTTTCAAGTGAAACTTCAGTTTCTGAGCTATCAATGTAGCAGAATGTACATATAGGCAAATCTAGAGATAAAGCTTAACAGTATGCTAATGAAAATTTTTTATTATTTTATAAAAATAAGGACTGCTAATCCCATCGATGGCTAAAGAAAACAACAGTTGCACACCCTTTGTTCACAACTGTGAACACTGATTAATTTATTCCTTCCTTGTGTTACTAAAAAGAAATTCACATTCATTGTCAATATAGAAATGATCAAGATTGATAAAGCTTACCTCGCGGAGTGTAGGTTTGCCTTTGAAAAACTCAGTGTTTTTGCTACTTTTGGGTGGGTTAAATCTTAAATTTAGAAAAGCGCATCCATTAGCAATAGCCTCCAAAGGAGCTGGCCCTTCATATGGAAATCCGAGACCAACAAACAGCTGAAAAATAGAACACAAGGGCTGCCTTAATTTTTGTTCTTTACAAAAACTGAAAGCTAAGAGCCAACTTAAACCAAAAACCAATGCACTCTAAATGGACCAGCATAAAAAAAAAGTAACATTAAGATGACAATGTGAGAAATTCAGCAGCTCACCCCCCCTGCCCAAGCAGTTACGGAATATCCTGTAAAACACATTTGACAATAATCTTCTGTAGTGAGCTGAGGTGGTTTTTCATGGAGCTGAGGCAACAACAGACTCTTTCAGTTACTTTTTGGGAAAAAAAGTCATTTGGTGGTTTGATTGGTGTTGAAATGGAACTGCTGGGGCTCTCTTGCAGGTCCAGGTTTTACTGCAGCAACCTCACGGAACAGCTACACTACTGTTTTCCCCCTCTCTCCCACATCAGCCAACCTGCTGGTTTTGCCAATATGAACATTCTCCTGGCAATCTGATTAAACCTTTTAATTAAACCGGTAGATGGCAGCAAACATCACCTGAAGACACTACCTCGGCAAGAGCTTGCCTAGGATTAAGAGTTCCACGCCACCTCCAAGGTATCAAAGGAGGAAAAAGGCATCACAAAGCTATTCTTACATCAGCTGAGATTACAGGTGCTCTAGAAAAGGCAGTGCTTTTCTCCAATGTCAAGAAATTTAATATTTTTTCAGCATTGTCTAGCTTTTAGTCGGATCTTGACCCCTTTCCTGGCCCAACATAATTAACCCCCCTGAATCAAATATAGGATTCTTCATCTTTATTTCTGTGCCTGTGTATAACAGGAGAATTACAAGCTCTGATTTATAACAGTAATTTCTTAGCACTGCTACATGATTTTATATATATATATATATATACACACTGCTTTTTTCTTTACAAGAAAATGAAGAACAATCTTCATAACTATTAGGATAATGTATTCAGGATGTAAGTATTCAAAGAGGTCAAATTATACTATTCTGCATTCAATTTTCTGCAATATAGAAGTGCATCCTAGTAATAAAAGATTCAAAACTGAAGGCCCTTTCTAGGAGCTTTTTTTAACATTGATGCATAAAACTGTAGTCGGTATTGTTGTGCACAGGCATTGCAGCATCAATCCTCTCTGACCCATGACAGTAACACTACGAATTGTGAGTTGGCTCATTTTAATAAGAAAGTTAACACTTCTCAGCGTAGCTGAGGTCATACAATTTTCACTGCATGGAGCTGCACATTGTTAGTTTTCAACTGTTGGGTTAAAAAAAGTCACCTACTTTCAAAAAGTTTCTCAGCTAACCTTACAGTGGCTGACTTAAAAAAGATCTGGAAGACCATCTCCATTAAAGCTAGATTAGCTAGATTATCTAAATTTGGGTTTCACCTGTGGCATTACCTTTCAATCAGCAAAAACACATCTCAAATCTCATCTCAAAAGTTAAAAAAAAGGTAATCTCTTGAAAATAATTAATTACAGACATCAAACCATTTCATGCAATCTGCACACATAATGTTATTTATTTAAACTATGCCTTAGTTCAGGCAGAAAACCAGCTGAGAACCAGCAATCAAAACCATGTGAAGTATCAATTTTCCTATGATCCTGTGTTTGACTGTTATGTGGAGAATGCTGGTTTGTTTGCTTAGTTTTTCACATTTTTAACAAACTGCTGCTGTGCACTGCTGAACAGTTCTGTGTCTGACTGGTCCGTTTATTTAGGAGGAAGTTCCATGGGGAAAGAAACAGGGCTTTATGTTTTGACAGCACAGAGCACACTGTCAGCACTTTATCTGTAATAAATAGCTTACCACCTGTTTCACATTCATTTTCCAGCCTTACCTCTAAGCAGCACCATACCTTTGAAGAAAGAAAGATGTGTCTGATTGCTAGGATGATACATGTGTGTGTGCTGCCTGTTGGCCTGAGATTGCAGCCTGGCCCACAGCACCCCCCCAGCTCATTCTTTCAACCCTCCAAAATCTTCTATTGCTCTCCATCATCCCATTGTCACCAGGTCAGCTGAAATTCCTCAACTGAATCTAGACCCTGCTCCTGAAAATTGCCCTTGATTAGCATTCCTTGGTTAGGGAGCTAGTATTTTTTATTTACGGTACAAAGATCAAAACAGGAATATCTTAATTGCCTCAAGAAAGTCACCTTCATTATATTTAAAAAAACAAGCATTAGAGAACACAGGTAATTTCTGCAACTCATTCTTATGATGCTCTAATTTGCTAATCCTTTAAATTACACGCAGCTTGTTATTTCCAGAAAGGCTAAAACAATCTGTGAAGATACTTCCTGGAAGTATGCAACGTAACGCTGCAAGTCACTAATTGAAAAAGAAGCGGGGGGAAAAAAAAAGAAGAAACAACAAGCAACAATTTTCAGGTACCAGGGAAGCAAGCATCCATCCTCAGTGAGCTGAGGCTGTGTGGAAGACAAAGCTCTCTCCCACAAACCGGTAAAGATTTAGAACAGACTTTATTTCCACTATTTTGTGATCTAAATTGTTGCCCCCACCACATAAGGTGCTGACTACAGTTTTTAGGATACTCTCTTACTGGACACTATGTCTGGTAACACAGTCCACCATGGTGAGGCACCTTCCTCTCTGAAGGCTGAAGGTCTATAATGTAAAATCTATAATGCAAAACTCCAAAACTGACAATGTTGGCAATGTAACTGTTGGTACATATGGTTCGAAAATTTTAGCCCTGATCTTGCTTTGTTAGCTGCAGCAGAATTGCAATGCAGGGTAGAATTCCTTTATGCTTTAAGGGTTGATTAGTGCTTTAAACCATTTCATTTTCTCTGTGTGAGCATTTTTCTCACTTTTCAAATGTTTTTGAAAGCTAAAACCATTATTATTAATACAGTGCTTTAAGCGGGCACATGACACAGTGGGCTCTGTATGCTAACGCCCCATATAATGAGATGATTACCAGGAGGAGTTTATTGTATAAAAGTATATCTAAAGGAGATAACAGCAAATAAGTAGAGATATAAAATCATCTCGGTAACGGCAGCATGTTTTGGTTTTATATTTTTAAATCATTTCCTTGTTTGCAAGGTTGCTACCCAGGTGTGCCAGTGCCCGTAGGTCTGCATGAATCAGAAAAGGGGTTTTGTACTTGCAGTCTTACTTGCCCAACTTGACAAAAGCAGGTGTTGAAACCCTTAAGCAGCAATACTTTAGTTTTCATTAGAAAGACTCCTCAGGAACTTTTTCTGCCTTTGCAGAGAACTGAACCCCTGGGCCTGGAATTTCAGGCTTTTGAGTTGGTCACCCAGCATCAGACCTTCCAAGACACCATTCTTTCCCGATTATAATGTAAACAGATATTTCATGGTGTAGGAGCTAAGTGGAGACTTCTCTGACATAAAAATTGCTTCACAGTAACTCCCATGCAAAAACAGTGTAGTTCTGTTTTATTTTTTTTGGAAACCACTTAGTTGACACTAAGCAATTCACTTGTGGAGTTTACGGCACCAGATTAGACTATTATTAAAATAAGAACTTGAACAAACAGCCTTTCTAAATTCTAGCCAAAAGTATAAAATAAGGAGTGATGATTTACTTCACTGACTGTAATTCTGAGTAGCTGAATATTTAAGAGAACAATTTCATATTCCAGAGACTAAATGTTACAGTTCCAGAAACAGGGGTGTTTATCTTCTCCTCTCCAGTTTCTAATATTACTGCACTTTACCTAATTTATTCTGTCGGGTTGGTAGGTTTATCACCACTTTTGTATGCCTCCTTAGGGAACTTACATGTTCTCTTCTGACCTACAGAACAGGAAATGTAGCAAAGGTTAACTATCTTGATATATTTGTCTCATGAATATAAAATCCTTTCTGGAAAAGTCAATCCTTTTGTGATTGAAACAATTCAGAAAAGAATCACTAGTTAAATGTCTTTTCAGATTATCTTGTGAAGTGTGTGGAAGTGAAGAAATGCATTATTTCATAAAAGACAATATGAATCCAACACTGCAATGGGATTTTTCCCAAACTGTCTAAACAGGGTTTTGCTTCCACTTAGTAAAAGAATTTGGATCCCCTCAAAAATTCACAGTGACTTTAAGTACAAAGTTGCATCTGAAACTTTCTCAAAAGAAGGAATATTCTCAAGAATTCAGTAGCGGTTCTTCCAAGAGTCTGGTCCAACTCCTCCAGCTGCCCACTTGTCAAGAAGCCACGTAAGTTGTCAGGAAGGCTGCCAGCTCGCCTACCCTATTTTCCTCTGACGTGATGAATGGCTTTACATCTTCTCATTAGGAACTGTTGACATGTCTCGGTTTCGTCATGCACTACACAGCTGAACTAGTCATGATGAACCTCAAACAGCCCCCTCCTGCTTGGAAAACACACTTATTCTGAAATGCATTGCTTTATAACACACACCAGAATGAAATGGCAGCTGCACGCTTTTGAGAGTAACTGCGTCCTATACTGCAGAGAGACCAAATACGTTCTGGGAACGCAAAGCTCTGATCAAGAATCATGACTGAGCTGCCACCTATCAGTGTATCGCTGTCTAAGGGCAAAATGAACCAGTGCAACATAAACTGACATTTCTGAGAACACTGAACTGTGTAATTTTTTAAATTATTATTTAGCTCTGGCTTTCTGAAGACTAGATCATGTCAGCTGACCTAACAAACACTTGCTAACACACTGTTGCAATCACAAGCAATGAAAGACAGTCCTTGCCCTTGGGTCTCGAAACATATGCTTAGAATAAGAAAAATCTGAAAGTTTCTGGAAACTTAAAGACAAAGGTTGTTGCTTGGAGACAGCAAACAGCAGGCCTAGATGGCTGAAGTCAGCACTGTACCCACAGATGTTACCATCCTGGAGTTACGGCTCTGATTATTCACGTACTTCCAACACACTGATTGTCTAATGACAAAACCCCGTAACTAAATTTATTATGGGGTTCTGGTCACGCTGCCTAGCGATTAAAGTGATTATGATTAAAAAGTGTCCTGAACCACCACTGGATGCATGTGCGCACATGCACACATACATGAGGCTCCTCGGGGCACAAAGCTCCCATTCAAGTCAGCTTGATTTTTTGTGGAAAACCTGCACTTACTTTAGCAATTCAATCCATGATCCATTTGATATAAACACAACTGACCCCCACAGGCAGCAGATGGTCAGTAGAGACAGGTGAGGGGTGTTTTATGCTAATCTACATTAAAGTGTTGTCTCAGGATATTGAAATCTGAAACTTAAATGTACAGGCAACAAGAAGACTTAGAACAAGTGCTGTCTGTTGATCAGCACTGAGAGGCAACCATATGCTAAGACAGAACAGCCAGTGTACCTAAGAGATACCAAGCATCAGCTAGCAAATAAAAACACCAACACAAACAACAACCCAAAAATCCACCTGCAACTGAGGAAGTCTGAACAAACTAGATGGTAAATCTCAGTTTCCATTTTCAATCTCAGGATGCTGCTGTTTTACTTATTCTGCTGAACTAGACATATCAGAACAGTATTACACAGGAGTAATAACTGAAATAAATGATGCAGTAGGCCATATTTAATTTCATTGTATTGCAACATCAGAAATACACTGCACTCCCATTTGTCTGACAATAATAAGTATTAGGAGAAGCAGATGGACTCTTAACTGCTTATCATCATGTCAAAGTTGTGCTAGTCTCGCTGCATCACGAATAAGTAATTTCGTTGAAAGGAAAAGAGCTTTTGTCATTTGCAACGCTGCTACCAAAGTTCAGAAAAGCCACCTGAAAATACTGTTTGTGGACTTAATTAAAGAAAAAAGTGTATTAAGAAAGATTCTACCAAAAAGATAATGTGATAAAACTACTGGCTTCCTGATACAGGGTTGTGAAACACATTGATGTGTTTCTCAGTGACATCTACTAAGAAATGCAACAATTTCTCAAAGGATTTCCCCCAATGCTAGGAAGAAAAAAAACCAAACCCAAACCAATGCACAACAGTGCACTTGCAATCTAAAGTGCTTGTAGGACTCTGAAAACAGCACAGTGTAAATCCACGCTTTTCACAAAAATGTAATTTGTGGAAAGTAAGCAACTTACTGAGCTCAGAAGTACTTCAAAATCACAAGACAGTACCTTCTGTCTGATACTGCAATTAGAACTTGAAAACTGAGTGAAATTAGTCTGGCTACTTCCTGTGTCACAAACCCCATACAACTGCACTGTGCTGAGCTGCATAGTATGTAAGTATTGGCTTGAATCTGTCCTAAAATGATGGTGTCTTTATATTCCATCTTAAAGCACAGCAATACAATCAATAACAACTAGATATGCTATCTATTTGATATTGAAAATCAAGCTTTTTAGTGTAATTCATGTAACATGACTGATAAAGAATTAGAGGAAGGCTCAGTCAAGTAACTGTTATAATGAACTTCATAAATCGTAAGGACTTCAGTTATTCTATAGGAAGTCCATGAGCTTATTTTACTATTCAGTGAATCAAATGCTTTTTTTTTTTCCCCTAGAAGGAAGTCACTATTTGTGCTTGGGGTTATTAAAATGTCAATATTCTTCCCACGTTAGTACTATGATTAATAGCATGATTTCATACTCTGCACAGGCAAAAGCTGTGTAATCTCAGTAGTATCCGTGACGAAAGTAAATGTTGACTTTTTAATCTGCAGCATAATGTGTATCTGTATGCATCAAGTACATACACACAGTGGTTGCCTTTAAAAAGTCATAATTTGCCAACAGCTGTCACTGTTGGCAAATTTGCCAACAGAGGTGTCAAATTACCATCATTTTCCCAAATATTTCAAAAAGGAGATCTCTGCAGTCATGTGGGAAGACTGGGAGGTGCTTGCTTTTTCCTTTTCTGTTTTTAATAGATTCCTCTGTAGAAGTGCACAGCAAGGAACTATCAACAATGGGGAGTAAGTGCTTCAGTTCCACACATTTTGCTAATTTTAAACATACAAATCAGTTCTTTCACCAACTGAAAGTTAAACATCCTATTTAAATGTAATCTACTAAAGTGTTTTAATGTTGTAAAGTGCCACAAAGATTATGGGAATGGCACAGAAAACCCCACTGTTTTCTAACCCTAAAGCATTCTAACTATTGGGACAAAAGTTGATTTATTTCAGTCTATATACTATCCCTTATCTTGAGTTCCCTTGACTATGGGGACACAGGCAAAGTACATCACAAAAAGCACACTCTTTTGCTCGCTCTCTCTGCACCACTGCAGTAGAGGAAGGAACTGAATGGAGAAAGAAGTGCTTACTTTTCTTCTTTTGTCCCCCAGAGAGTAGGGTCGTGCTAGGTTAAAGTCATTGGTAGGGCAGAGCAAGCATGCCTACAGTACAGCTGTCAGATATTACTAATTTTCACATCAGGGATTGCAAAACAAAGCACATTCTCAGCTGATAATCTCCTTGAGCTGAATATCACATTTAAGAAAATGAAATACACATTTCCCAAGCTGGCTGTTAAATGTGTCTGTGACTAGGTTGTCATCCCAATTTTCTAATAACAGCTGTCAATCCACAAGACATGGACACAAGGAAAAACATATTCTTATCAGAAGACAACTTAAGACCCTTTACATTTGATCATTTAATTTTCCAATACTTTTAAATTAGGAGCTCAGTTGTGGGAGGTGAAAAGGATGCACTTCAGATACTGTCTGTAGCTATTTTTGCCACTACTCCCTCTTGACAAACTTACTTTGGTTTCTCTCAGTAGAAACTGCAAATCCCGCCCACTGAGTATACCATGGTTTTTTACATAGCCAGGAATATAAATGGTGCTTGTCCCATGAACAGTTCCATGGACTTCCATATAGGTGTGGATGATGTCCAGGTAAGCCTTCTTATCCTGCAACAGCAACAATAAAATACATTCAGTCTTTATGCTTTTCAAGCAGTAGCGTTCAAACACAGCTGTCTTTATTCTCCTGTACCACAAAAACCAGAAAGAGAAGTTCAGTCATTCTTAAATGATTTCTATCTTTCATTACATTATTAGTTTGGTTTTCTACTAGACTGTAAGAAAACTGCATCTCTTCTTATTCATAGTAAAGGTACAAATAAGTACCAAGGTCCTACTAATTTCTAATTGGACAAAAAAGAGGTCACCATCGGACAGATGTAATCTCAGCATGCCTAAATGATACTTGGCCTTCTTTGTGAAGAAAAGGGTGAATCTCAACTTAGTAAGATTCAGTCTTGCCAAATGAATAACTGAATACACACCTTTATCTAAATACCTAGTAACTGGGTCCCATGAGATACCTACAAATATTCCATTTACCTAAAGCTTTAAAGGCATTTTGGAAGAGAACCTGGGAAGAGTTGCATTATAAAAAAACCCACACCCAAACCAACAAAATCCATCCTACTTTGCAAACAAGAATTACTTTAATTTTCAATGCCATATGTTTTTTTTTAGTTTTGAAGACTACTAGTATTCCAAAAGCAATTAGCCATAGTTTGTATTTACAGGCAGTATGCAACACAGATCAGAGAGTCTTTCCCTCAATATTTGCACATACTCTTAGTAATAGCTCTAAAATCAGGCAACAAGTTCTTGTACTTCTTGGCAGCAAGAGAGTTTTTAAGAATTCTACTTTCACTCAGTATTTTTTGTCATGTAAATTCTGTACACTGTTCCTCCACAGCCCTGTGTGAAAGCTGGCCAACACTACTGAAGTTCATTCACAGGGCAAGCAGACTGGTGAAAAACCTGTCTTTTCAAATCTTGGAGAAGCAATAAGATATCATGCTTAGGTGAATGAACACTGTCACTTCTTAGAACTTCCTTGCTAAGTTAAATACTGGTCTACATTCAAATACACAAGGTATTTCATGTCACATAACTCACTTCTAGCTTTATCTTGGTGATACTGTTTGTGATGAGATAGATTGCCTGCCTCATTATTAAATCGCCCTGTTCTGGTAGCTATGCCAAGGCTGCATCAGTCAGACAATGTCCTGGGCTAAGTATTACATAAAACTGCCAACAAATGGAGACAAACCTGCTTTCTCATTTTGATGTAGCTGCTCTTATAGTTAAGTAGCACAATTTATTTAAAAAAACCCTAAAAGCTTGCTCCATTTTTTATTTTTCCTTTTACTTCAAATTTGAATTACTCTGAAAGATATATTCCTCTTACTATTTGTAAAGTAGCATAATTAGAAACTGTTGAGAAGCTCACATACTTTATTAAGAGAAATTCCATTGTAGAGCTTCTTTGCAAATGTGCAGGAGAAATTGTAGACTGTAGGTAGATTCATATTAGACATAAGGAAGAAGTTCTTCCTGTGAGGGTAGTGAGGCACTGGAACAGGTTGCCCACAGAAATTGTGGATGCCCCATCTCTGGAGGTATTCAAGGCCAGGCTGGATAGGTCTTTTATATATATATATATGTTTAAAAAGCTTGTCTCTGGTGGCTGTGAAACACGACTGTTTTCATATTATTCCTCACATATCAAGTTTTGCCTACCTTTGGAATCAGAACACTGGATTAGATAAAACTTTGATCTGAACTGTCCTTGCTGCCATCTTATTTTTATTAGCTTATTTTCAAAGATGAATGTAAAATGGACCAAAAGAAATGTAACATTTTCACAGGGCTTCTGTTTATATGTGATGCCAATAAAAATCTAGTGGGATTCTGAGAAGCATCTGTGTTACTGTGAAGTCCATAGCCTAAATTCTGCTGGAAACACTCTTTGATAAATGCAACAGTCCTTGAATTTAGCCCAAAGTATTCCCCAAATCATCTTGTAAACAACTAAGTGAATCTTCTGACTATATCCATATGCTGTCCTCTGGACAAATACTAGCAGTTGATTGCTCCAAACACGGAATACAGGATTAAAAAAAAAAAAGACAGGATGAAAAGAACAGGCTTTCACGCTGTATTTACAGTAGCATTTTTCAGGGGCTTTTCAGGAAGACTTTTGCTGAAACTCTCAAAGTTATGAAAGTATGTTAGAAATATTACTATTAAATTCAAATTAACTGAGGCAGCATACATTTTATATTTGAAATCAATATACAATTACAATCAATACAATATACAATCAATACAATTTAGGAAGACAAAGCAAAAGCATTGATAAATTCAGCATGCTTTTAGCATCTCTGAAAGTGCAAAGAAAACACTAAAATAACGAACCATGATCTCAGTTGGGAACATTATTTAAGCATAAGAGTAACTGCTTTCCTGATTCAGAGCCTAAAACTGGAGGTAAAACATTCACTATGCCAAACAGCAACAATTTGTCCATCCATTAAGAAAAATAATGGCCTTTTAAATGGCATTGCTGGGTTTCCACCTCCACAAGATCGGGTAACTACTGTAAACTCTGTTATAGAGTTTATAGAAACATTTTTTCCTTACAAAGGAAACCTTATGGATAGATAGGCACAAATAAAGGGATTAATATGTTAAAAAAAAATTAGTTTTCAAACCACAAGAGTAAAAACATAATAAAAAAACCCCCCTGCACAAAAGCTGAGAGAAATCTTGCATCCCACAAAGGGCAACACTCCTTCTTTTAATCAAATGAGATTTTTAAAGAATTGGAACTGAGAGCAGCATCTTCCCTTTGTTGCCTGTACATAGATTTTTCTAAGTGTCTTTCTTTCTGAAGGAAAACAGAAAAAGCCCAACCAAAAATTCAGAAAGCACAATCCACAAAACAACACTCCTTTATTCCCTTATTCACCTTGAATCAAAAGCAACTGCTTTTATAAAATATAAAGTACCATAAAAATACCATTAGCAAAATACCTTATACCTTACACAAATCTCACTAACATTTGTCTCCTTTTGCATTTAAGAAGTCCTGAATTTCCACATTCCTTGTAGAAAACTGTTATTTCTGATCATGAAAGTATGACTTGTAATAAGCTACTTCGCAAAAGTAACCAGGACACATAATTCAATTCTAAGCATTAAAACCATTGAATTAGAAAATGAGAAAGAGTAAATATGGCATTTATAAATAGAAAGGCTACAAGTAAATAAATAATGTAATTTGCAAAATACCAATGTTCCTTCAACTGTTAATCCACTTCCTTGCTTGCTTGGGTGCAGATACAACTTTTATCTTAAATCATTTGTCAGTAAACTCCAGATTTTTACTTTCTCCAAAATGAATTCAAAGAAAAAAGATCATGGGTTGCTGGCTAGTAATGCAAAATCAACATTCTCTGCAGAGTTTGTATCAGACTGTGCTCTTCACTTCTGTCTGTCTCCTATCCATACTACAAATCTAGACTTCAAGCATGAAAGACAACATCAAAAAAACCCAGTTTCTCTTCAGAATCAAAAAGGAAGTGTAGCAGTGAGTAACAGTCATACAAACCTTTTCTGAAATAATTTTTCAGCAGTTAAAATAAACATGCCACTCAGGAAAGTACTTCTTGTTGATCACTGACTGCAGAACTGTTATTACTGTTCATCAGTTACTTCCACCTATTTTTAAAAGCCTCATGATAAAGCCTTTCTCATCAAAGAAATCAAAAGGCAACTGTCTGATAAGTCTTCCCCTAGGACAATATTGACAAGATGACAATCTCAAGTGTTGAAATTTTCAAGTTTGGTGGGTGAAAAATTTAAGCATAAATGCTACAAAAATACATGGTAGAAACATGATGCATTAAGATCTAAATTTTGTGTATATCCTAAATGCATGCTGTTAAGTCTAGAAGTCCTAACATCTGGGTGCTTATTTGCCAAAGCATCAACTCCAAGGTAAGCCAAAATCCAGTGTATATGCAATGTATGACAGCTGAGATCGTGACACAAAACATAAGATTGGAAAATCTCTCTCTTTCCAAGAATCGTCACACCCTCAAAGACTTTTCAAGACATCCTTGAATAACGAAAATCTCATCTACTGGGGAACTGGAAGAGAGCACAAATGCTGTAGAATTCAAGGTACAATATTAAGAGACAAACAGATACAGTGTTTAACTGTAACAGTTTTACAATGGTAAATCACAAGGAGTAGATGATTTTGGAGCTGAAACATGAAACTCTCAAACTGTTAACTACAGAGTACTTAATGCAGAGTACTGAATTTACAAATGGATCTGGAGAAGATGCAGTGACTAGTGACTAGCAAGTATGAATTCTACACTGAAATTCTCTGAAACTTAAATAAGGGTTAACTATATAACCATGTAAACCCAACAAAATTGCAATAGTCAGTTCTTTCTGTACAAGGAAATCCTCTCTCACCAAACTGGTAGTGTTCTCAGAAGAAGCCAATCAACATGTAGAAACTATTCAAACGTTCTTAAAGGAACTAAGTCTCTTTGGGATAGAAGGGTATCACTCTTGTGAATGAAGTCACGAGAAGGAGAATAAAGAAATGGTAAAGCGTATGGTCAACACGTTCTATTCACAATAGCAAACCTGAAACTAACTTCAAAATGTTGCAGAAAAACATGGCAATTCTGAACATTTGGGGTTGTAAAGCTTTTGAAAAAGCTGTCTCAGAAATCTAGGGGATGGAGTGACTAGGAAATACAATGACTGATAAATTCAATATAAAGTGATGCACACGTTGAAAACCAGTCCTGGCTTCATGTATGAATAATGGACCTGAGCTAACTAATGCCAACCGGGAATGAAGATTTGGAATTATGATAATATATGATTTTGGTCCACAAAAAAAATCAGCCCAAATGACAAGTGCTTTGAAGTCACCTCTTACTGAGATCTCAAAAGTGTGTCAAAAGTCAGTTTATCAATAGACAAACAGGTTCAGAAAATACCCTGGCTGAAAAGAGCTGGGAAGAGAGAGAATATGCAAAGGAAGTATTGAGTAACATTGCCATGCTTTTGCTCTTCCCTGAATGTCCATTTATGGCTTCTCTGCTAAGCACCTACCACATATATCATAAAATACACATTAGCACATACAAATATGTTATTTATTTGCACATATATAATCTTTGCTCAAAGAATGAATAAAAGATCTCAGTAAAGAATTGAGTCATCAAGATCCGCCAGAAATTCTGCTTGTCATCTTTATTTCATTCAGTATTTCTTGCAGTTCTTAATCTTTCTGTTTGTTTGTTTGCTTTTTTACGCTGAGGTTTGGAAAGATTTGACAACTTCATTGCCATGTAATGGACACTAATGTCTAACCAGGAATTTCTTGTCATTTGAATGGACATTTCCAGAAGTAACAATGAGACACTCTCCTCTCCTTTCCTTTCTTTCTTCATAATAAATTAAATCCTAATTTTGATAATAAATGTTGAAGAATAAGCCTTCAAAATGTATATTCATGTATACTTATTTACTGCACCTACAGCTGCTCATTTGCTTTGATTTACTTTTTTTTTTTTTTGATCCATACTTCTTTCAGAAGCAAATACTGAATTTCAGAGATGCTGCTGAACTAAAGTGCCTGACTCATTTCAACTTCTTATGTGGCATAAAGTAGGACAGCGCTTTACGGACAGAAGCCTCGTGACAGTAACTAGGGTAGGTTACGATCAACGGGAAAGCCCATGGTGCTGCTGCCAATTTGGAGGAAGACAAAAACACCACAAGACAAGTTTGTCATGTGCTTGTCTTGCACCGAGCATGTCCGAGAGAAAAGGTGAGAAGGATCTTTCCTCCCTCTCCTTATATATCTTTTAGCTCAAAAAATTAACTTAAATGTTTAGCCAAAGTATGCTGCTAAATATGAAGCACAAAAAATAATCAGAAGGAAGGGAAAAGGCAACACTATCAGCAACAAGACACTGATATTTGCATGTAAGAGAACTATTCCTAGAAGTGTAATTTCTCCTTTCTGACTTCTCTTCATTTTCTTCCTCCTACTTCATGCAAGAGGGCATACGATGGGGAAATTACATGTGTCACATGGAGCTATAAAGGAGAGATATTATCAAGAACAGCCTTGGTTATGTACTTTCCCATTGAGAACAAGATAAATTTCTTCAAAACTTATTTTACAGACAGTATACATTTAAGAAGAATGCCCATCTTGTCAAGGGCATTAGTAACAAACTCACACATTATTTTGCCTTTAAATATATAAATATTTTAAAGACAACTAAAAGCTGTGATCATACAACTGTATGCTATGCATTGATGGCTATTTTCTTAAACAAGCAAAATTCTGACTTCTGCCACAGCACCCCACAAAAAAAATAGCAAATACTGTGAAATGAATCTTGACTCTTCTTTATTTCAAGGCTAAAGGGTAGAAGTATTGGACTGGTATGACAGGAAGTTGCAGGGAGAAGAACAAAGAAAAAACTTAGACCTCAACAGGAGCTAAGATGACATGAAAGGCTTAAAACATTCCCTTTTAATTGAAATGTTCTGTAATTAAAGCCAATTTTGATAACGGAGAGCATTATGGGTTTCACTCACATTTTATTCATTCCTTCTTTTTCACTTAGGCAGAGAGAGGACTATCTTTACACCTTAGTAGTGCCAGAAATCCCAGACAACCGCCCAAAATTTGATTACAACAAACACACCCAAAACTTGGTAAACGTTACCTTTGGTAGCTTACCTTTAAGCATAACCTTTAGAAATATTGCTAAATTCTTTGGAGCCTCCTAATTGTAATCCTTAACCCAATTAAGACTGATTTAGTTATCCAAAGGAAGTAAACAAGATGTATCTTACAGTCTCAGCAGCTTACATGCTTCCTGACCTCCTGCCAGATGTACCCAGACTTGCCCAGTGTAATGTGGGGCGAATGGGGTCTCAGGCCATGGGCTGACATTTTTCCTGTGTCTGGAAATGCCGACAGAAGTCATTGCTGTATTCCTTCTCCTGTTACTCATCATGTTCACACCAGAGTTTAGCCCCACTGAATGATGTAGAAAGGCAGAGCATTGTCTCTAAGCAATCCATAATCCTCTAGCTACAATAACTTGGTTAATGTATACAGATTAAGCTGGTGGGCTGAGCTAGCCTCATTGACTCTGCCCAGTCAGGCAGCAGAGCTGGGAACATGGGGATTTCTAGCAAAGATGAAATGGCAAGTAATCTGGATGGCAGTTAGCTATTCTAGTCCCACATCCCAGGAAAAAAAGGCTCCATGCATTTCTCAGTTCCCTTTCGACCTCCTTGGTTTAAAATGAAACAATTTATTTGCAACTGCTATTCCCCAAAAGCACCTTAGTCTGGGGACTGGAACACACTCCCCCCTCCACCCTGCTTCACTAATGACTGATCAGCTCCAGCAATGACATGTATTCTGTGGAGATTACACTTTTTGTTAATTAGCCATGTTCAATATAAGGAAAAGGAGCAAGATAAATAGATTAGTCTAGTTCCATACAAGCCATGGTGGCAGATGAAAAGAGCTTTGTACAGGGAAAATGAAGGAGACATGAAATAAGCAAATTACACAGACACAAGATTAGTTCAGGCTTTCTATTGATCACAAGAATTGGATTTTATCACTCCAAGGCATCCCACTCTGTCACCGATTCAAAGCCTATCTATGGTGGTTGCATGTTATGTACCAGTGTGTATGGGTATAACTGCAGTTACAATCTACAAGTTACAGTTTTAATGTGCTTGATGTTACAAGCATACAGCGAGCATTTTAGAATGGGCAGGTCATACATCTTGGAAGAAACAAGACAGGCAATACTGATAGAAACAGAGCAGTGACTTGATAAGCACCAGTTCTTTAAAAAGTTGCGAAGTTGTCTAAACACAAGTTCCTAATAGTGAAAAGGGGATATGCCTAACAATACATATATATTTCCTGTTTGATTTGGTGCTGGTATGGCCCACATGCCTTTTGCTAACATTCACATTTCCAGGGGAATATGAATAATCTTTTAAAGGTTCAGACATGTGAGAACACTTAAGGATGAGAAAGCGTGAAGTTCTCAGTGGTTCAGTATACACAGACTTTTCAGGAGATGACTATGGGTTACTTTGAACTTAATCTGTATATTCCTACAGGGAAACAGAACAGATACATCCTCAGTCCAGTAGACAAAATCTGTAACTGCTACTATGACTGGAAATTACCATTTGGAAATCTGCTCTAGACATAAAAAAAAGTCTTAAGGGAGAAGGCAATTATTTGAGGATTTTACCAGAGGAAATAGTGGGGTTTCCATTGTGTGTTATTCAGAAATCCAAGATTGGATGTTCTTTCCAAAAGAGCCATGTTTTTGTCTTAATCAGCCCATAAATATCCTGTGTGTCATACAGAATCTCAGACTAGGCAATCAAAAATCTCCCCTTTGGGCATATAGTCCTGAAATCATGCAGAAAGAATAAACTGAGAAAGACATATACACCAATAAAAAAACCCCGGTGACAAAGCAACTATCTTGTTCCTTAAATCCAACTAGTATTCAACATATTCAACTAGTATCTGCTGATACACACTACAAATCGGGTCAGGAAGTCCAGATAATTATTACAAACAACTGTTCCCGAGACACCAATAATGAGATCAGCAACTCCAAGTACAAGAGCCTCTGCTAGGAAAGACTTGAATGAAAGGACCCCAGCTCTGCTCCACCACTTTGCAGACAGAAGATTACAGATGGGGCACACTAACTCATTCTATACCATAAGCCAAATAGAGTAACTGTCACAGTATTTACTATGATGCAAAGCAAAACATCCTTTTAAAACACAGATTACACAGCTTAGTGCGGTAAGCCCAAATATAAACCTGAGAGCTAATATAGCTATTTTTCTCAGCACAGTGGCCAAAAAGCATTCAGCTCTACCTTTTTGCTACTAACGGCAACATTCTTCCATTTCTCTTCAGTTTTTGATTTGTTTTGTCTCATAGATGGACCATTTACTTGTAGCTAACAGTTTTCAAGAATTTATTCTGTATAATCACAGTCATCAGACTAAATGTTGCGTTTGTGGTTCAGAAAACTGTGCAAGAGTGGTATTCTCATGCCAGTGAAGAGAAAAGGAAAGAAAACGTGAGACATGGATGCTCTCACACTGTCATATTGTTTGGTCCTATGTATGGCACAGCACGTACTGATCAGCTCATTTTTCAGTTGACAAGAGGCTTAAAATAAGGTCTTAGGCAGAAGAGAAGGCATACAGTGTATGTGGGCACACAGAGCTAGCAGTTACTTGGAAGAAATCCTGTTATTAGTAAATAATCTCTTTTTTTGGGAAACTGCATGAGACACACATTCCCAGGTGTGGCAGCCTGGAAGAAGGAGCTCCAGAAAAGGACAATGGACAAAAAACCAGAGGCCACTGTGAGCTTAACAACACAATATACTTTCACTTGGTGAAAATATGACCAAACCTCAGAGTTGGTATTCTGCAGCTCTCTTCTGCAGACGGGACGCAATAGAGAAATTACAATATTTAAGAAATAAAACTCTAATATTACTACAGGAAGATAAAACAAGATTGGACACTTCTAGGGTGTTTAGCGAAACACAATTTCCAGTTCAAAATGCAGCACATATTTAGTTGTAGACTTATTAAGTTGCTTTATGATTTTGATCAAAATAAATTTTCTCAAGTATATGAGCAGAGAAAACTCACCTTCCAGAAATTATCTACTTTGCCATAAACGAGAGATTGGTTCTGCCTTTTGATGTCATTAATGTGCCTAATGTCACTGGAATTCAGATGCTGCTCTACCACAAATCCCAGGAAGCTGTTATCTGGAGTATGAGCTGTAAGACATAGAGCATATTCAAAACCTTTCAAAGTATCAGTTAATGTTACAAAACCGTGAATGTTGTCAGAAACATAGGTATAAGGAATATATTATTTAACAGATCACATTCATAGAGAAATATATGTTTGCTTGCTTTATTATCAAGAAAGTTCTTATCACTTTAAGTCCTGCTATGTATGTCTATTGAAGTAAGCAGTTACTTTCTGGCTCATTTCTGACAATAAAAATTCTGTAGCTGGACTGAGGCCAATGATAACGATTTTTTGTGCGCTGAGCTTTATGTTATTATTAGAGATAAGAGAACCAGAAGAAATTCAGGTTGATATGTCAGAGATGCAATACCAACAACGTGAAAAAACCCAGAGTTTATGCTTGTTAACAAAGCTGTATGTTGCTCACTGTCATAAATAAATTCTAGTAAATTTCTTGGGTTCACCTCCCATATTCGAAGAGCTGACACTGACCATCCCACTCACTGCATATTACGTATCCATGCTAATTCCTAGCCTACAGAGTCACACTATGCTGATAATAACACACATTTCACTGCCTAATTCACTCAGATCTATCTTGGCAAAATAGCTGTTAGTCCAGAGCCCAGACAAAAAGTTAATGCGAAGGATAGACAATTCACTCTGAAGTTTTCTATATTATTTGTAGCCTCTGTTGGTCTTTTTCCAGTGGTGACATTCAGCAAAACTAGCCACTGTTCTCCCCTTATAAAGACACAGATCTACAGGCCCATTAAAACTAAGGTTTTTTTTTGGTTTTGTTTTGTTTAAGCCTCCCTTTTGAATTCTGACACACAAGCTGACAACTTCTTACTAAGCACATTTTGCAAAGTTAAAAAAAAACAACAACAAAAACCCAAACCAAACCAAACAAACAAAACAAACCCCAACCCAAAGACAGGGCCCCAGGCACTTACAATACATGCAGTGCTAAACCTATAGCCAGAGTTATACATAAAAAAATTCTACTGCAATTATGAGGCTTTGCTTTTTGATTCCTGAAATCAGCCAGCTGGATAATGCAGTAGAACAGAGAAACCATACACAGCTTCCTTTTGCCATTACATTTAGTCTTTCAAATGGCAATTACTCTTTTTCACAAGAAAATGCCTCAGCAACAGCAAAGCACTCACTCAGACCCAAGAACTTTTTAGGATTTAACATAGCAAATAGCACACTCCAAATATGCCTGACAAGGGGCATTTTTCTATCCTTTCATATTTTGGATAAGAGACTGCATTCAAAGGACAGGCAAGGCAGTTCACTCAGAAGAAAAATAAACTTCTGTTTAAGTTCGCACTTAGAACTGGTGGAATTCAGTGCCTCAAACATCACTTACAGGAAGCACTCAGATTTTTAAGTAACATCATGAAGTTTTAAAAGTACCAGTGCTCTTATTTTGCATAAAAGAATTTAAACTAAAAACATGAAAAGGGGGGAAAAAACCCCCTCATGCTTCTGGAAAGCTCAGAGAATAGTCAAGCATTTGGTAATATGCCACAGGTTTGAGTAAGGCTTTCTTGTTGCTCAGTAATAATTTTCTGCCCTTATAATCAGAGTTCTCAAAACATAATAAGAGTCTGGGGAGCTTGGGAAGCTGTCCAGGGTTCCAATCTGTCATAAAATCTTTACTGGTGCGTAACATGCACTTTTAATCACAACCCCATAAAGATGGTGCTATCTCTGCAGCAGAGAAAAAACAAAACAAAACAAAACTTTAAATATCACAAAACATGCTGACTCTTCTGCAGGAGTACAAAAAGCAGCAAAACCCTTCAATAATCTACAGCACTGGAATCACTCATGCTTCAGAATGAGTTTGCCTGCAATCCATTTACTACTTTTCCTGCAAAGGAAAACCTGAAGTAATTTCCAGTTGTAAAAATTGGAAATGGTTATTTATTGAAATTCTGATATAGTCATACACTTCTGAAAACCCATTATATGAAGTGATTTGCTCCGAACAAGAGACTGTAACAGTAGTCTATGCTGCCATGACAGAGAACTCTATAGGGAAGATTTACTTTCTTCTGCATTTCAAGAAGTGGGATTGAGGAGTGCACACACAGAGCTGTACCGCAAGTATCCATGTAACTATTTTCCTCAAGTGCCTCACCACCCTTGCTGCTATCTAGAACAGAACCTCACACACAAATTTCCCAGCAGCTGGACCACTTAAATATTGAGCTTTCGGATCCTTTTCTGTTTAGCACATAACCAATAAATATTAGCAAATCACATGGATACGGCACAAGCTCTGCTTACTAATGTCCAGGCACTGGAAGCAACCGCTTCGAAGTCACATTTCCACACCATGCATTTTGTTACTTGCTTCCAAACAACCGTGAATGCAGTCTTTTATCTTTTGAACAACCTTCACTTATATTTCTCTTGAAAAACTTGCACAGCAAATGTTGACAGACAAAATATGCCTCTCTCAAGAATTTTACAGGGCAACTGAAATCAAAAGCATGTCAACCAGACAGCAGCATGTATAATTCTGCTATGAAAAGCAGAAAAGTTTGAAAGACTTGACTATAAAGTCTGATGAGAGAGTACAGTGCATGCCCTGGCCTTAGTCTGAGACAGGGACCACCACCACACTTTGGCAGTCAGGCCGGTCACTGCCAAGTGTTTCCTTACAGACTTGGGCCGAGTAGTTCTTGCACACAAGAGCATGCCCTTTCCTCTTTCCTAAGCCTCACTTAATATCCAGCTACCTGGGGCTAGAACAGGCCAGTATGCTTTAACAGTAATGGCTTAATCTGATCCAATTTATTCAGGATTTATATAATTTTTTTTGCATTCTTTTAAGATATTTAACAATGATTCAAAGACCTACAGCAATGCTGAAATCTACTACTTGTTTTTCAATAGCTTTGTACACTGCTAGCAAATAAAGGTGAATCAGTTCACCTCAGGATGAATGCTCAGGATGAAAACCAGCTATGTGAAAATTTTTGATAAATCAATGAAAAAGTAGAGTCAAAAAAATATTTTTGCTGAGTATTAGTTTATTAATCTTGAGCAAAAAGAAATAGCAAAGGAATTGTGTGGCTCAGTTGTTGAGGGGAAAAAAGCAGAAAGAAAGCAACATAGTTAACATAGTTACAAACTTCAGGTTAACATGATGAAATGTAAGAATGCAGTTTATAAAAATGCAATCTAGCAAGTTTGTCAAAACCCTATTGCTCCATAGACAGGATTTGAGAAGGCAAAATTAACAAAAGCAAACTCACTGACACTTGAATGTAAAGCTAATCACCACTTCCCACAGGTACCCTGAGAATAAAGTTCCCTATCATTATTTATGATACTGGTTGGTATTGTTTTTATCCAGCTGCTGCATGGAAGCACAACAGAGCTTTTGCATAGTCTACAGACACTGACACAATTCTGTCCCTTTGGCAGCTGCACTTTATTAAACCATGAACTTACCTTCCATAATACAGAAGTTCTTCTCAGTGACAGTACTCCCTTTTAAAGCTCCGAATTATTTATAAACACAAGGATACTTACGGAACATTGTATAAAACTGCTGTGGATTAAGGTTCCACTTTCCCCATGGTGTCTTGTGGCCTTTAGACTGGGCATAATGAGCATGGTTAAATTCTGGTTCAGTTCCAAAGGAATCCAAAACTCTTAGCATACACCTAAAAGAGAGAACAACAATTTACTGTAGATACATAATGAACACGTATTTACAAGCATTGTGTGTGTGTACACAGTTATGATAATTAAGATGTGCTTTGTTTTTGTTTTCAACTGTGGACGATTTATAAACTAAAGGTACATTTTCATCTCAGACATTTCTGTTCATATTACATTCACAAAGACATTACGATCAGCAAATTCAAGAATATATCAGACATTCAAATAACAGCCCTGAAGCTTGTTTTGGGTTTCTTTGTTCTTACAGAACAAAGTTATGCTTTAACATCCAAGTAGAGCTTACGGGGGCTTATAGGAATGCTACTGTGGGCACCTACATTCCTAGGGCTCTGAAGCAAAATTTAGGCAGAAGAAGAGAGGATTCTTCATCTATTTTCTAATGTTCTTGCCCATTACCACAAAATCAGATGCAACAGTGAAGGGCTGCATGCCAAGAAGATCAGAGTAGAACATTACTTTGTCTTTAGACAATTGTATTTAGTCTCCAGGTTCTGACTGACTTTTGGGTGAGTAAGACCTACTGGAAAAGCACTGAAGACAGTTTAATTTGCTGAATACTTACAGTCAGACAGACCATTTGTTTATGAAACACTTTATCATAGACTTTTGAAGAAACAATATTAAAGTCAAATGTCTGCAAGAAACAGTACACAACTGAGAGAAACCTTGGCATTAGACTACAACAAAGGGTCTGGGATGAAAGAATCACACTCAGTCCTTCATTTCACTCCTATGAATTTCTTGAAAAAAATCACTTACAAGCAGCTCCTTTCATAAAAGGGCCCATAGTACATGAAAGGCAGAAAAAGTCTCAGTATGAAGAGGGTGGCACACATTCTAGCATACGGATTCTAGAAATTGTGTTTCTAAAATGCACCCTGCCAAACCTTTGATTTTGGCCATAGTACTGACCACTGGCTCTACTGCAAATTAATTGGATTATATGGCTCTAAAGCTGCTAACCCTATCATTCATCAGCCCTCTGTAACAATTTTCAGAAAAGACCTGTATAGGATTTGTTCCTACACTATGTGTCACTATGTTATAAAGATACGAACTCTTATCACTGAACATTTTATCACTGGGCTTGTACGTGCCAAGGAGGAGACACAACCTCATGGTGGCAGAGAATGGAGGTAGCTACAAAAGTTACTATTAAAAATGGCCATATTTCCCAGTCTTCAACATTTCCCGTGCTCCAAACCTATACATATAAAGTTCAGTAAAACACCAGGATTTAGGCTTTAAAATGAGAAAGAATTTAGCCCCCCAAAAGGTGAAAGAACTTAGCTCCAGCCACCTTTCAGCTTTAAAAGATGAAAGAATTTAGGCCTTAAATTACATGTACATATTTCTTATATTGTCTTTTTTCTCCAAAGTGTCTATTAAAAAAAGAAAAAAAAACCCAAACCACCAACCAGCAACCTTTGAACTCTTGTATGAAAATGCCACCTTTGTATTTGAAAATACAAATAGAGCAAATTTAGGTTTTTTTTTAATCTTCACAGCGATCTTCCAAGCGGAAAGAAAGTAACAATATACAGCACCTTATGATTCACCAAACAAAGCTGACAGATCAGTTGCTGTGCAATGTTTTATGTCAACTGTTCTCAATGGAAATATTTTACAACAGTGGCAATTATCTCTGCATCAGACAAAATACTCCAGCAGGACCAAAACAACTTCTGCACTGATGAATCATTCAGTAATAAACCCCCTCTTATTTCTTGGCAGGCCTTAAAACAAAATTCTTATCAAACATACAGCTCTTGGCCAGGTACTCGAGTAAGGGAGAATGAAAAATAGGTGAAAGCTACTGAAACATCGCAACATTATTGGAGTTTGTCAAATTATGTATGTAAGGAGCACTACATCACATGTGATCATCTTGGAGTGCTTTGTTTCCTCTCTTTTTCCTGTATTCAGATGTAAGCTGTGTAGCACTAATTGTTCACAAGGATACGTGTAACTGTCCAACACACACTGGATTTCTGAAACAGGGCAGGAAATGTGATGCGATGGGAACTAAGCTAAACTAGAAAACAGGGAAAACAAAAAAATATTTATATGATTCAGGTATAAAGTAAGTTGGAAAAGAGAAAAGGGTCACAGCAGAAAGTGCAAGTGTGTGCAGAAATGGTATGAAATATCAAAGGTTCAAGTGGTGAACCTAATCCCTAAAATGCAGCAGAAAAGGACTTGTAAAGATTTAAAACTTAGAAATGAAGGCAATTAATGCCAATTATGCTGAACTGGTACTTTAACGTATGTAGGAACACCTCCAATTATCTACCCAAGTACTGTAGTCTCCATTTGTGTCACTTAGTGTTTTAAACCTCTTTCAACTGAAATATTTTAAAACAAAAAGATTGATTTAGCAAAATGTTTTAGCACTTCTAAAGCGAAATACTTCATTTCGTAACTGGTAAAACAGTATTTTTTTTAAAGTCATCTATATATTTTGAATAAAAATGTTAATTTAGCATCATTTTAATTTCAGCTTTTTACCTCCTTCCCCCTTCCTTCATAAGATGTCACCTAGCTTTAGCAGTGAAGTTGCAGAGAATTATAGCATGGAATTGGTGTCAGACTGATTAGTCTATTCACTGACTAATTAAACAGAGGATTGGTGGGTAGCAAACTCCTTAAAGAAACATCCATATTAAAGTAATCTTTCTTCTTCTAGCATATTAGAAATTATAATTTTTGGGCTTAATATAAAAAAAAAAATAACTAGATAAAAGTAACTCAGAATTATCACCATTTTTGAAGCGAGTGTTTTTCGTAAATATTAGGCATAAGCACAATCTTAACATGGCTGTCCTCTTGGCAGTATTTACACACATTTCTTCACATCCTTCTCCCACCTGAGGTTATAATTTGTCTCTACTTACATATACTTCATCTTTGTTTAAACGAGTGATGTTGCCCAGCAGCACCCATGGCTGTCAGCAACTAGTGCTTGTGCCCTCACAAACAGTTAAACAAGGGGTACGTACATGGCAGTGGATGCAGACATGTTCCTGGGAGCAAACTGATCAAAAACCACCCGTTTCTGGTTTGGAAGCTCTATAGGTGCACTGAGCTCAGGCACAGCAATGTGCCAGCACAGATACGTGGACTCCAGACTGTTTTGTTTTCTGTTCAGCCAGCTCAGATCATGGGCAGCTCATATCTGCCTATGCAAATCCTTGCAGACACACACATTCACTTTCAGACCACTCAGTACTTGCATTTAAAATGTAAAAGCGTAGTCAGAAAATAAGCCTCCTAAAACAGATGTATTCTAGAGAACATGTAA